TTCTAGTGTGGGTTTGGTATAATAGCGGAGCAAATGCTAGATGCAGATTAGGCCACTATCTTTTTCTTTAAGATTGTGAGTCTGTGTGATGCAGTGTTTAAAATGCAGGTATGTGAGCAAGGAGATGCAGGTGTAAATTCCCACTCAGCTATGAAACTGAGTGACATTGGACCAGTTCTCTCTCAGTCTACTCTACCTCACATGATTGTGAGGATAAAATAGGAGAACCATGTACACTGTCCTGAACCCCTTGGAGGGACGATATTAAAATGTGGTGGACAGATAAGATAACCTTCAGTATTTGCCGCCTAGATCTTTATCATTATCATAGCCCTCCTCTTATCTTTGCCAACCTTCCAACGTGCAGGAAGGATTTATAGTTGTGTCTGGTCATGAATGAGACTGTCATTTTTTTTCCTTGCCAGTTATTTCACATTGGGAAAACACCATTATACAGTGTGGAGCATAGTCATTGCAACACAAAGCTAACATTTTGTATCCCTGGCAGCTGGGTACATAGGCTGCAATATTATTATAATTTATCATTTACAATTTGCACAACATCTCAAAGTTTACTAGGCACTGCAGAATCAGTGGTATGCCCTTTTAGACTCATAAAATGGAGAGAGGGGATTAGATTCTTAACTTTAGCAAGTAAATTCTGAGACCATTTATAAAAATGACATTCACAGTCCAGACATATTTATTGTTGTGTCTTTTTTCTGAATAATAACAAATTATTGATTTTTGAAATATATATTTACATTACATTGTCAGTACAAGCTTTATCAGCTCCTGTTTATCAAACAGTACTGAGTTTCATTAGGAGAGCTACAAAAGGTTTCCTAAGAAACATTATTCTTGAGAAATGTCCAAGTGGAGCTTTTGGAAAAGTACACTCATTCATAGAGTCAGTTTCAGTCAATATATCTAATTCTCAACATGGCCCAGTCTGTGGATACATAAATCAAGAGCTTGGAGTCATGGACAGACAAAACAGATCTTTCTACAAAACTGAGAAAAACCCCAGGTTTTCAAAAAAATCTGAAATCTAAAAAATAAAATAAAATCAGGGGATTAAAACTCTCTAAATAATAGAAGCGGCACCTCTACCTTTAAGAAACTAATGCCCTTTACAGGGTTAATTGTGGAGGTTGTTAGGCAATCACAAAAGTATTGCTAGCTTCAAGCCTTGGTTTCTGTCAGTAAAAGACTGGGGGGGGGGAGCAAAGCCCTTTCTGGGGCTGTTTTGGCCTTTGAGGGATGCATTACTGAGGTCAGGCTCAGCAACAACCATGGGCAGCCTCAGTTGCTTGCTACTATTCCATACCAGCCATCCTACAAAGCAAGCATGATGCAGTGGTTAGACCAGGATCTGGGAGACCCAGGTATGGATCCCCATCCTGCTGTGGAAGAACACTGGGTGACCTTGGGCCAGTCACATACTCCCAGCCTAACCTATTCACAGAGTGGTTGTGAGGATAAAGTGGAAGAGAAGAGAGTTATGTAAACTGTGATGATAACCCGGCCTCAGACCTAGAAACTTGATACTTAAATTTCATACCTTACTAACTAATTAACTAACTAACTAACTCTGTGTGTGTGTGTGCGTGTGTGTAGGGCTGCGGTGGCTCAGAGGTTAAGACACTTAGCTGCAGACCGGAAGGTCAGTCGCTCGGCAGTTTGAGACCTGAGTGCCATGTGATGAAATGAGCTCCCATCTCTGGCCCCAGCTCCTGCCAACCTAGCAGTTTAAAAGCAAGAAATTGCAAGTAGATAAATAGGTACCACTTCAGTGGGAAGGTAACAGCGTTCCGTGCACCTTGGCATTTAGGCATGCCGGGCCGGCCACATGACCACAGAAATGTCTTTGGACAGCACTGGCTCTTCGGCTTGGAAACGGAGATGAGCACTGCCTCCTAGAGTCGGATTTGACTGGCTTTCGAGCAAGAGAAACCGTTACCTTTACTATATATAAATGTGAGGCTTTGGGGAGTGCTTAGTCTTCTAGCCCTCAGTGAGGGCAGCATCTGGACTCAAGGTGCTACCTGGCATTGACTTGTTCTATTATGAGGGGATCGTTGGCTTGAAGGAACCACACAGTACGTTTGATGAGAACAACTAAGAAATTTGCTTATTTCAAGTGGAATGTGTGGCTTTGTAACTGCATACAAAGTAGGTTTCTAGTATGATTCAGATTTATAAAGTGAGACAGAAAGGCTTTTAACTTTTAACTGTTTTTGTCAGGAACAGGATCCATACCTTTATAACACAGAGCAGATAGGCTTCCCTCTTTTAACTGTTTTTGACAGGAACAGCATCCAAAGACTACCTACCTTCAAAATACCTTAAGTCCCCAACTGACTCCCTGCCTAACCAGCCAACATCCTAACCTTCTCCCACCAAAATCCAACAACCTCCAACTCTGACAGTTGGTGAAAAGTACTGAGACTTACTAGTGATTTCAGCTCTCATACTTTATTTCAGCTCAGAACAAGACAAGTTTCCCCGGCTCACAGGCTGGTTTATATGTGCAACAATCCCACTCCCCAAACTCACCCCCACACTAGTGATTGGCTATTTAGAGTGGCCGAGAGTTCCATGGGCTCTCGGCCGGGAGCCTAGCCCTCCGATTGGTGTGGGCTAGGATCCGCTTGGCCCACTGTTCATGATAGCGAAGCTCAGCCGCTTCGCATGACCGCATGGCGACCTAGCCGCGCACGTGGTCGGAGATGGATACATTACAGTTGGCCAGCAGTTAAACTGCCAAATTCCTTCTTTATTTTTCCCTTTTCAGCATTCCAATGCATCATTTGAAAGTGATTTCAAAGTGATTTGCTGAGGCTCCTGGAGGGTGGAACTTGAAACTGGCCATCACGAGTCGTCATTGAGGGGAAAGGAGGGGAATAAATGAAATAAATAAATAATAAGTATCACTGAAGAGCCCTGACTTGCATGGGAAGCAGAGAATGAAATAGAAAAGAGGAGAAAGTTATGGAGACTTGAGGGAAGGCAAAAATGAAATAATAAGGGAGGGGGAAATGAAATGCCCGTCACAAATCCTCACGGTTTCCCCTACCTGTAATTCTATAATCTATAAACTTTTTTTTTAAAAAAGAATGTGATAGGAAAATAAAATTGAGTCTTAAATACAAGCATTCTGAAAATCTGACTCCTTTGCATGCAGTATGTCACATGTCGCAGTAAAGTCCTTAACAAATCGAAGACAAGATTTTTTTTTTACAAAGTTAATGTTATCAGGGAGGATACATCAAGCAGACAAATATGGAATAATGTGTCTTTATCAAGCAGTCAATTTTCCTTTTATAACTTGCTCATATGTGCTTTAGTTGAGGAGATTTATGTTTATCAAGGAAGGTAACTGACTTAAAAAACGAGTTTGTTGCATGTAACCCCTTCGCTGGTCCCTGTGGGGGCAACAAGGCAGCTTCTTCTCAACAGTGGTGTGGGCACACACACCCCATTCAGAAACTTGTAAATCTTTATAGTGCTAAGTGGAGTCTATAGAGGGCAAAGTTTTGCAGTATACAAGGATGTGACCTAAATGTGGCAGACTACTATTTATTCTAGATTAGAGGCAAGGGAAGAACCATTGGCACTTGGGAAGAAGAATTTAGAAATTAACTCGAATTATACTCATATATGGATATAATGCAGATTATTGTTTGAAACAACAAACTGCCCTCAAAGTTTTCACTGATACTCGGACACCTGCAGCAAAGCACCGTTTGTTTGAAATCTGAAAATGCAATCTAAAACCGTCTCCATATTGTATTAGATGGGAGAACAGCAGAGCCTAGGAGAGCTGGCATAACTAATCAAGGACTATAATTGTTTATTCAGATAGTAGCTCAAATCTCCCTTGGCCCAGAAGCTCATTTAGAGAGGACAACTCACAGTTGTCCTTTCTAAGCCCAGCCTACATCACAGGTAGGGTGGTCAACTCTAGTGTGGTAAATTCCTGGATATTTGGGGGCGGAGCCAGGGGAGGGTGTGGTTTGAGGAGAGGTATAATGCCATAGGGTCCACCCTCCAAAGCAGCCATTTTCTCCAGGGGAATTGATCTATGTAGACGGGACATAAGGTGTAATTCTGGGGGATCTCCAAACCCCACCTGGAGACTGGCAGCACTGCTCTTTGGAAGGAGGTTCATTGGGAGGATAAAACAGAGGAAGGGAGAACCACCCTGAGCTCCTTGAAGGAAGGGAAAGCTTTAAGAAGTGATATTCTTGGATTCTTCTTCATCAAAAAAGTAGTGATACGAAAATATGATTAGAGGTTAACAAATTAAGAAAGGCGGCCATAGTTGTTTAACCACTACAGCAAAAACAAGGAGCCTTGTGACACCTTAAAGACAGGTTTATTGCAGCAAAGGCTGTAGTCCATGAAATCTTGATCAACAAGAAATGTTAGTCTGTAAAGTGCCATAAGACCTTTTGTTGTTGTTGTTAGATTCGGTGAGAAAATTATGACGTGCACAAGACAACATTCAGCCAAACATAG